CATTAACTGACGGTAATCTGCAGTTTCCTTCAGAAATGTCCCTAACGTACGTTACTTGCGTACTCACATTTCCAATTCTACCGTTAAAGGGCCGGAATAGCGTAGTGAGTATAGCAACTGGCTACGGGCTGGACGACCAAGGGGTCAGAGTTCGAGTCTCGGTAGGTTCAACAATTTTCTCTTCTCCATGTGTCCACCCAGCCTCTTATCCAGTGGATACCGATGGCTCTTTTCCCGAGGGTAAAGTGGCAACTCATCTCCAACTAGTGCCGGCATCAAGAAAACGTGGATCTCTATACCCCCTCCCCCATACGCCTTCATGGCGTAGTGCTTAATTACATAGTTAAGCACAGGGACAATCCTTTACCTTTTACCGTTGCTGGAACACTTTCGAATGACTCTTAATTCTTTACTGAAGCATTTCCGGATCCATATTTATATAAACTATTTTCATTGTTCTGTGCCGTAGTAACCACCTTCCAATTTTCTCTAATTGCTTCTGGGATATTTTGTACTTGCCCATGGTGGTTTTTGAAGGCTGACATGTCCTGTAGCCTGAGATTGTCTTCCATGTTGACGGTCAATTTAAAGCTGCGCGTAGTTCATAAATCTTTGACGCCAGCATTTCAGAAGTTATGTCACGTAATTAAGCTCTTAACAATACCCGAATTATATCTAATTTATACCAATGCTCTAATTACGCGTCCTTATAAGATCTAAAAGTTTGTGACGATGGTAAATTGTTACAATTAATATGTTGTTGGACATTATCCATCGTCTTGTCTATTCTTAAAAAACCGCCCTGTTTCTTTTAAAAAACACAAAGTTTCGGAGACTGGATTCTGTCCCCGTCTTCAGGTAAAACCTACTCAGTTGGGTCAAATAGACAGAGCTAGCCCCTATCTCCGGACAACTATGCCAGTTTCAGAAGGGGTTCATAATCCAAGCACAACACAAACCATCTGTGAGAGCTAAGAAATAGTGAAGCTATCACATATGAGGTCTTGCACCAGAGAAGTATCTAGAATGAAATCATACCTGGAGAGAAGCAATACTCCTTGTGGTACGCAAGGATCCTACAGCTCAAACTGAGAGAAAAATACGGACACTCCTTACTAAACATACAACTATCCTTCCCGCAGCACTGAAGAGAAAAAAATTAATTCCCTACCACAGCAAACCCCCTCACCTCTACGGACTCCACAAAATACACAAGCCTGANCATCTGTGAGAGCTAAGAAATAGTGAAGCTATCACATATGAGGCCTTGCACCAGAGAAGTATCTAGAATGAAATCATACCTGGAGAGAAGCAATACTCCTTGTGGTACGCAAGGATACTACAGCTGAAACTGAGAGAAAAATACGGACACTCCTTACTAAACATAGAACTATTCTTCCCGCAGCACTGAAGAGAAAATATTAACTCCCTACCACAGCAAACCCCCTCATCTCTACGGACTCCACAAAATANGGATCCTTCCTTCCCAGAGCGCTCACCTTTACAAGTTGAAGACGTGATGGAACTACTATACATCTGCTTAAAAACCACAAACTTCCAGTTTAAAAATACGTTCTACCAGCAAAAGGAGGGTATGGCAATGGGAAAATCACTATCTCCGGTGGTCAGTAATAATTTCATGGAANAGACTGCCTTGTAAGTTTTGACGTTGTTAGTTTGTTCACCAACGTACCAGTGGAAGAGGTCCTACAGATCATAGGAAATAGACTCAGAACGGATCCTTCCTTCCCAGAGCGCTCACCTTTACAAGTTGAAGACGTGATGGAACTACTGAACATTGCTGAAAAACCAAATGCTTTCAGTTTGAAGATACGTTCTACCAGCAAAAGGAAGGTATGGCAATGGGAAACTCGCTATTTCTGGTGGTTAGTAATATTTTCATGGAGCATTTTGAAGAAATAGCAATAGACACAGCTGAATACAAGCCTGCTAAATGGCTGAGATATGTTGACACGTTTGTGATATGGCCATATGGACCAAAAAAGCTACAGGAATTTCTTCAACAAATNATAGGAAATAGACTCAGAACGGATCCTTCCTTCCCAGAGCGCTCACCTTTACAAGTTGAAGACGTGATGGAACTACTGAACATTGCTGAAAAACCAAATGCTTTCAGTTTGAAGATACGTTCTACCAGCAAAAGGAAGGTATGGCAATGGGAAACTCGCTATTTCTGGTGGTTAGTAATATTTTCATGGAGCATTTTGAAGAAATAGCAATAGACACAGCTGAATACAAGCCTGCTAAATGGCTGAGATATGTTGACACGTTTGTGATATGGCCATATGGACCAAAAAAGCTACAGGAATTTCTTCAACAAATTAACATCAGGCCTACCATCAAATTCACTATGGAAGTTGAAGTTAATAATGCACTTCCATTTTGGACGTTTTGGTTATGAAATGGGGTCCAAAACTGACCACCAAAGTGTACCGAGAGCCTACTCATACTGGTCGTTATCTTCACTTCAAGTCCAACCGCCCATATCACGTAAAAAGAGGAGTTGTTCATAGTTTGGTCAACAGAGCGAAGGTCATATGTCAAAACCAGAAGGATTTTAGTAAAGCAATCAGAAACATAAGACACGATCTGATGCTCAGTGAATATATTAAAGAATTCATCGACTCTGTATTGAAGCCATCGACAAGAAATCATCCCTCTTCAGACAGAACATACCGGGGCACTGTAGTCATTCCATATGTCAAGGGTATCGCCGAGAAATTCAGACGCATCGGGAAACGTTTTCAGCTCAGAACAATCTGCAAAACGAAACATACACTCCGGGGGACATTATTGAAAACTGGACCCGTTAGACATGGCCAGAAAACGAAGCAGTATGTGTATAGCATCCCTTGCGACTGCGCAGATGTTTCATCAGTGAAACTAGCAGACCCCTAGAAGTACGCATTAAGGAGTGCTGGAAAAATCTAAATTGGCCCAACATGCATAAAAGGAAGACCACAAAATTCGTTGGAATGAAGCGAAGGTCTTGCGGATCGAACCCAGCACCACATACAGGAAATATAAGGAATCATCCCACATGTCTCTGCTGGACCATCCGATCAGCCAACCTAGTGTGGCTCTCTCTCCCATCTGGACCCCTGTCATCACAGCAGAAATCAAGAGACTACAGCGCCGTCAAGTGTAGTTGTAGTGGGTAACTATTTGTTTCATGTGTTGGTACCACAAGGAGTATTGCTTCTCTCCAGTTATGATTTCATTCTAGATACTTCTTTAGTGCAAGGCCTCATATGTGATAGCTTCACTATTTCTTAGCTCTTACAGATGTTTTGTGTTATGCTTGGATTATGAACGCCTTCTGAAACTGGCATAGTTGTCAGGAGATAGGGGCTAGCTTTGTCTATTGGACCCAACTGAGTAGGTTTTACCTGAGGACGGGGACAGAATCCAGTCTCCGAAACGATGTGTTTTTAAAAGAAACAGGGCGGTTTTTTAAGAATAGACAAGATGATGGATAATGTCCAACAACATATTAATTTTAACACGTCCTTATGTTAAAAATAAGTTGGATTACACGATTTATTAGTATTAATAGGCAATCTTTATACGCTATATGGTGCATAATGACCTAGAGGTAGCCTGTAGTCGTACATCTGTGACCTTCAGTCTGAGTTAACAGAACACGTGGTAGGAGATTACCAGTTTAAACATCATGCACCGAAATATAGAGTGATTCTACATTATTGTCAGGATTTCCCTGGCCTATAAACCGAAACTCAAACAATATTTTAGAATCACTCTGTATATTTGGCAACATTCAAATACTTAATATGCTCCAGTAATGATTAATATGATACTAAAATGTGCATAATTGTAGAATTTCGTTAACGTTTGGATGCAAGCAACAAAGGTTGGGAATTACTGATCTAATAAATCGAGTTCCATAATTTAAAGAATATTCTTGCTCAGCTGAAGAACTATGAATTCAAGGAAACCCAAGTATCATGTAATTTGGATATTTAATCCGTTCATAGCGCTGTTATAAACATAAAGCTGATGGAAAATGCAGTGCCGAAGTTTAATCTGCAACTTAGGCAGTTCAGCAACTCGGCTGTTACTGACACGTCCAAACGATCCTCTTAACACAACGAGCTGTAATTGTTTACTTCCCATAAGCGACGTTATGACCATTCCTGTAACCACTGAAGGAGTTAACTCGTGTCAGAAGTACGGTTTTAATTCGGACTGGCTTCTTTTCATATTCTCCTGTGCCCATGGCGGTCTGTATCCTTTCTGGTTTGTCTATATTCTCTCCTTTGTTAGGTACGAAGTGAATTCCGTGTGTTTTCTTTGTGGTTTATTTTTCCTGTGGCAAATGCAATGTGAACCCTAGCTTGTTTTTTTGTGGATTACTCCAATGTCTAAGGCGTAGCTTAAATTATGTCTCTGAACTTCCGTTTAAGGCTCTCCTGATACTACTCAGTTGGTGGCACAGTTCTCCTAATCCTAGTGTCCTTCCTTCCTTTCACCTGCTTTCTTCCGTTCTTTCAATGAAGATATTTCAATTTAGACGTGGACTGGAGTATAATATTAACACGAGAGTTAGAAAAATACCATATTAAAATGTGAGCTGGTTTCATGTTGCTCAAGACTGGATCAAATTGCCTCTCTGAACACGGAAAGACACCTTCAGGTGTCACAAAAGCAGAGGTTTTCTTGAACAACTGAGCGAATGTTGTCTTTCTGGAAAAACACAGAAATGTGCGAGTCATTCCAACCGAATATCTCTAGCTTCTCTTAAGATCTTATTAGGTAGAAACTACTAATAATCGAAGAAATCAGTCTTCTGGGATGTGGCACCGTGTAAATGTGGTGTTAACAGACGTTTCGGAGGAACGTCGGTTAACACCACATCTACACGGTGCCAAATCCCAGAAGACTGCTTTCTTCATAGTCACCGCCGTGAAAACCTCAAATCTTACATACTAATGATCGATTTGAATATATATCCATTTCAGAGCATAATTACATCGCGGTGCAGACAAGGAGCCCGATCACCAACACATCCGTGTTCTCAAAGAAAGGAACATGGACCTCCGTTTGTGGCAGAACTCAGCTCTTCTTTTCGTCCCAAAGTTCCGCAGCAGTTAAAGGCAACACATGCATCAAAGTAAGTTTTTCCTCCTTCCATGTTAAGAAGACACAAGCTCTGATATGTGAAGGGTAGTGAAATATTTGTAAAACGCAGCTGTTGTGACTGTATCAATAACAGAACCCCCCACCTTACCCCACCCCACCAAAAACATAACAGAACTGGGGCCACCTGTCTTTTGATGACTGCTTTGTTTTCATAACCGAGATGCTTTCACAGGGAAAGGATAAACAAACGTTTAATTGTAAATGAATTCAAGAATACCGTCTTCATGGATGTAAATCCATCTAGTCTCTTAGGTGTTCGACATTTCGGAGGAACATGCTGCTTCCATCTTCGAGATGAACAAATATGCCAAGCAAGTAGCAAAAATTAAACAGGCCGAATCGTCGGTGGAATTCTACTGGACTACACAGGATTACATCCCAGGAAGTAATTACCTTTCATACTCACCACTGTGAGAAACTCATGCAGTGTAAAGGAATCGTTCGTTCGAAATCATTTGATGTTCTGAAAATGTTCATTGCTCGATGTCTTACGATCTCTTACCGACTGTGAGTTAGTTGAAAAGAAGTCAATCGGGATCGATCGGGATGCTGTGGGGGAAGGTTGGTTGTTTCATAAGGTAACGCCTCCCATGCTTAGGCTTTCAGCAAAAGAAATTCTTAGGAGCAGGAAGGCTCAGTCATTATAGTGGGCAGTCAGTAGGATGGGTGACCAGGAAATCGGCGCTCTCCACTTCATGCAACCCCCAATCCTATGGGTACCACCGCTGAAGTAAAACAACTGGGGCAGGAATCTAACTTCGCACCATCATTTAGTACCGAGGTCACGTTCACATGGTGTAGTGGCCTCTCTTTTATGGCGTGGCGAATAATTAAGCATAGGGACAACTTCGCTCCTTTGTTTTTTGGTAACAAAACCTCAGTTTGCGGGATGCTGTCAATGGTTCTATTGTAACATCTCAAGAGCAGGTAGGACAGGTTTCTCTACTCATTGGTAGTGCAGCACAGAAAATACAGTCTACATGTAAACAACGCCCGCTTACGAAGCAGTGATTTTCGTTCTTAGTTCCGAAGAGATAATTTATTTCGAAGTTCATCATCTATCTATCTATCTATCTATCTATCTATCTATCTATCTATCTATCTATCTATCTATCTATCTATCTATCTATGTCCCTACAGCCCTTGTTGACCTTGGCCGCTTTTTCAGATTCTTAATCCACACACAGTCGGTAGGACTCCTTGGTCGGGGGATCAGCTCCTCGCAAGGCCGCTACCTACACATAGAAGAACACAAACACCGAATAAACGCACACAGACCTTCATACCTCGAGCTGAATTCGAACCCACCATCCCAGTGTTCGAAGACGGTTCATGCCTTAGACGGCTTGGACACTGTGATCGGCAAAGTTTACTCATCTGTAGTTATTATGTGCTGCTTTTAGGACATTAAACAAATAAGCACCGAAATTTAAAGTTAAGTTTAACGTAACATAACATAGCTAGTTTCCACACAGCGTGCAATGTTCGCGGCACTATAACTCTGTTACTTGAATTAGACAAAGTCACTTCCTGTACGCAAGAAGAAACGTTATCTCCGCATCGCACTGATCGTCTGAGCCTCGTTTCTATTAACGGCCTGCATCACATGAATATGAGGTCAGCTTTGAAGTAGGAGCATTTCCATTTTACGACCAAAGCCTCACACCTCCCAGAGGAAGTGGTAGTACTCTACTTGCATTCAGCTAAATAGACTCAGGAACTTTTCTGAAAAGGATCGACTACGACTGGAAGTCTCTGGTTGAGTTTCTAAATCATCCCCAGGTTACGGACTTGGTGTAACTAGGCTCTTTATATACAAATTTATTCTGTAAGCGAGTAAACTTGTTTATCACAAATGGTTCATGAATCACATCAAATAGTGGAAAGCATTTCAACTTAAATCAGAAATGCGGGTCAAAAAAAAAAAGAGAGTTTAAAACTAGAACGAAAGCCTTTGCAGTGGCTATTTTTTCGTTTAAGTTCTTAATATATGTTGCCAACTCTCAAGAGAGAGTGAATTACTTATTTTTAAAAAATGTCTTTAAACAGTTGGCCATAAAGTTTGCAATTTTTGTAGATGCAGTGCTGGTAAATCCCATCATTGGACCCAGTTCGGAGTCAGTGAAATCCAGTCCATATATTCACAAAAGGTTTCTCTTCCTCTGAGATCCATTTAATTACTGCTGTGCTGACAATGCCGAAGCCTCTCAAGATGTCTTTCATTGAGATTCTACAATTGCAATTTTATAGTGTTTCCCAATTATTCATCATGTGTACAGTACGATTTAAACACGATGGCCGGTAAGTTACTGTAAAAATATTTGCTTCAAAAATCCTAAATCACACGATCAAATAAAATGTGAAAATAGATTCTTCCAGAAAACAGAGAAATTACAAACTCTTTGGAGGTTATTAATCAAGGAGTTTGAGTGAAATATTTTGTATTAATATGTGTCTTATTCGTGACGGTTGAAGAATTAATAAATATTCAGAAGAAATCGAAAACGTGAGTAATTTGTAGAAAGACTTATTACGCAACTTAAGATTTCTGTTAGTTGTACAACAAATGTCCAGACCAATATTTTGATTAAAATTTTATGGGATTTGATGCCGTGATATTACTAGTTTCTACTAATTATTCCCAATGAGATTTAACTTTATGTAACTATAACTTTGTAACGGGGATAGTGAAAAACATGTTGGCATAATGTTTCTGTATCGAAATTACAATCCAAACTCTGACTACTTGCTCCTCTGTCGCGACGTATATAAAATACGGCCGATGCATAACCTCTCTTCTCACCACGTCATATCTATACAGTACGAAGCTTCGTGGAAAGGATTAATAGTTGTCAGTAATGTAAAATGGTATACGAGTACATGAATTATGACTTGTTCAAAATGCGGGTCAATTTTACAGATCTGGATCCGGTCGAAAAATTGTTGGGGTTTCTAGGGGGCCTCAGAATTGATATACACATACATGGAAGTATAGCATGTATCGGGGTGAGGATTGGCTATCCTGACAAGTTTTATTATCTACGGGGCACGCGGTAGCGTAGTTGGTTGAGGCACTATGCTAGAAGCCGAAGTGTCGCAGTTTCGATTCCCGATTAAGCCATTGGATTTTTCAATTTACCTAATCCTTCCAGCCGCACTATGGCCCTGGGGTCGACTCAGCCTCTAACAGAAATGAGTATCAGGAATCTTCCGGGGTGTAAAGGGTCGACGCTGTGAGCCGAATGTCAGAAAATGCGGGAGCCTCAACGTCCTACAACTTTAAAGGGGCCCATACACGTACGAGTCTGACTCGCGAGACCGACTCGGCTCGTGTTCCAATGAGCCAAACTCCTCCGTGTGTGGGTCGCAAAGTTGGGAGTCAGCTCGTGTGTTTGTGGTGAAATTAATCTGAGCCCGGCTCCCGAGTCAAGATCGCCGAGCCGGACTCGCGAGCCAGACTTGTACGTATATGAGCCCCTTTAGGGGTCTCCACGGCCTGTTGCAGGGGTAGCTTTACCTCCTCATCTACAGGCTGTGGTGATATACGCGTAGTGTCTCCAATATGGTACGTCACAAATGCTAGTTCCCATAGTCCTCCCAAAATCACCCTCCCACTCGGCCATAGATATTTGGTAAGGCCTGTCCTTGTCCTTGTCCCTATGCCTATGCACCACACCATGAAAGAGTATGGGGGGATGCAGGTAAGGGAGCTAGGGCTCTACATACTTTTAACCTCGGCACTGGATGGAGGTACGTGGCCAGCTTCAACTTTACGTCTGGGGAATGAATCCCCCCCCCCGGTACGCATTAAATAAAAGGCTGTGTGGGCGTCAGAGCCAGTTTGGACATGTGGTGTAAATAAAATTCTCCGTCTTTCCGGCGAATCGAATCCCGGCCGTCCAGCCCGTAGCTAGTCCGATAAAAAGACAAGTATCCATGCCGTAAGGGCATTCGAAACTGAGATCCGTGTATTCAGCCTGTTCAAGACCATATGCTGTTGGCGTCCCTTCGGCTAATTTCTTTAAAACGTTCTGATTCAAAGATACATCATTCTAATTAAGTTCGCTGATTTTAAATGTTCATGCTACGTGAAGGGTGGAATTGATCTTAACCATAGGCATAAAGTGGAACAATTCTGTAATATTGACGCATTTTTAATTTCAAAATCAGGCCTAGTTTTCTGTGAGATGAATAATATTCTCTGATTTTCTTTCGATGCTTTTCTTTGTTTCCTTCGTCCCGTTGCTTTGTTTGTTTATTTATTTATTTATATTTCTTTTTTTGGCGAAATTAATAAGCCATCTTTAAAAAGTCTTGATTTTCTATTTTACTGTGAATCACCGCCAACTACATATATTCATATGAAGACATTTCTTGCTGAAGCAGGAAAAGCTGGAGACCCAATATGTCCCTTGTTTTCTCGTCTCATTTTGTCCCTGTGTGCATCGAACCATATCGTTTTGATGTGGCTGGCACTGCTGTGAAACTACTGGATTCTAAACCCTTTAATCTCTCTCACTACACGGTTCATTCTGTTCTGACTGATGTGGAGAACTAAGTACTTCTGCTTCAGATTGTGCGGTTGCGCAGTTGGATATTGGTTGTCATGCGGCTATCAAAGATTCTAATCTGTTTGATTTAGCAACCCCTTTTTGCTCCTAAACACATGCAGTGGTTTCTGGGGAGAACCCTGAAACCACAATTGATTGTATCCTCTTCTACGTCTTACCATTTATGCTGATGTAACTAAGGCGCGTGGGAAATGACTTTTATCGTGGTGTCAGGTGCCGGGGAGACTTTTGAGAACAATTCTTTTATTTAATAATCATTTAATTAATACTGAGGGGGGGGGGTAGTTTGGAACACGAACATGTCTAGGAGTGAACAAAAATCTTGGTCATGGATCTCGATGAGCCTGAAGCCTGGAATGACTGTGCTGGCTAAGGCCAGACGAAATTTATGCTACTGACC